TCGGGGGCTGCGGGCAGCGGCCCGGGAGCTGTCCCTGGTGCTGACGGCTCGTCCGCTCTGGGCCGAGGCCACGCGACCTCCCTCCGGCGCCCGGGCGCCCCCGCCCCCGAGGCGGGGCTCCCGTTGCTCTTCGCCTGCTTTCCTCGCGCTCCCCGTTTCCACAGCGTTGGGATTTGGAGTCAGGCCGACGCTGCTGCTGCTTATCAACAGTGCGACCTTGGGACAAGTACCTTACTTGAGTCCCTGGTTCTCATCTTCAAAATGGGCCACAGCAGCGCCTGTGAGGTTGGTCTGAGAATGAAATTCAATGACGTCTGGGTGCCTGGCACACCATGAGAGCTTAATAAATGCTCCCCTTTGTCCTGATTTGTTTCCCGTCCCTTGGTCAGCAACCACGGAGCAAGTGAGAGAAGGGGTAGCGCTCATTCTGCTCCTGGCTGGCAGGGTTTAGGGTATGGTAGCTGCCTTTGGCTTCCCCTTTGCATCCATAGCGGAGGGGAGCACACCTCTTCCTCAGGACCCCAAGGCACAGAGTTAGGCCCAATGGCCAGAAATTAAAGTGAGGCAGATTTGGGCTGGGTACCAGGCAGAACTTTCTGTCATGAGGTCCTTCCACCTGAAAGGGATGCTCTAAGAGGCAATGAGTGACCTCTCTTACTGCAGATACTCAAGAGGAGGCTGCAGCCAGAGGGACCCTGAACTGAGAGAGGTCTGGAATTAAAAAGGCTTTGAGTTAGAATACGTAAAACCTAAGAACCATGTCTGGCACATTGAAACTGCTGCATGAATGTTTGCTTTCTTGACCGTTAAGTTCTCTTTGAGAAACTGTAGCCTGGTAGGAAGAACCTGTTACTTCACCCCCATTCTAGAGATGAGAATACTGAGGACAGACAGAGGGGGATAAAGAGACCTGCTTGGAATCCATCCCACTTCCAGATGGGCTGAGGACAGAAGGGTAAGCCACTTGCTTGGAGCCGAGAGGGTGAGAGCTTACAAACCAAACAGACAGAATCCAAAAGTCCAGCCTGCACCCCCACCCCCCGCTGGGTCCCCTAGCAGAGGTCGCTGCCCAATTTCCCAGAGCTATCCAAGACATTTTGACCCTGGACAGTTTCCTTATAACAAACCAGACAAGTACCTCATTCTTCTTAACTAACGGGAAGAGCCGGTGCCTGCCCCTGTGAGCATCTCTGTCCCTTCCAAGCAGGATCATTAAAGTCACCTGCCTCGTTTCCTAAGGGACCAGTGGCTGTGTTTGATTCATTAATTAACTGTGCGCAGTACCTGCTTCCACCAGGCACTTATCTCGTGATAAACATCACTCATTATGTGCTTCATGCGCTCCAGACACAAGGCTAAACACTTTGCCTACATCGTCTCACTTAGCCCTCTCAACAGTCCCCTGAGATAGACACTGCTGTTATCCCAAGTTTGCAGGTGAAGATTTTAGGCTTAAGAGCAGCAGACTGGAGTTGAGCTGGACTGACTCCCGGACATGTGCTCCCAACACCCTCCTTCCAGATTTTCCACGTTGTCCCCAACCTAGGAAAAACGATGCAAACATTAATAGAAATTCCATATAAGGAGACAGAGAGAGAGAGAGCCAGGAGAGAGACACAAACCAGCCAGACAATCCATGCCCTAGGAGTCGGCATAGGAATCCTTTAAATCAACATTTTCAGTCAAAATCCCCATTATAACAACTGAGCAACTTGGTTTTTTAATTTCAGGATTCCTTAGATCCTGGAAAATGTGTACCCAGAATTTTAAAAGGAGCATCACTGCCAAAGCCTATCTTCACATCCAGCTCCGTGGCCCTCCAGTTCTCCCCCGTCTACTTTTCATTCACACCCTGCAGGATCTCGCCGCTGTGGGTCTGGGCAGCTGCAGACTCTGGAGCCCGCTCAGGCTCCGGAGCTCCGGACCTCGTGAAGCACCGGTTTCTTTCCCGTGCTGCGCTGAGTGGTGGGCTCCCGGTGCTCGTGCTGATGCAATCCGAGCCCATTTGATTTAAACCAGGACTGAATATTCCCCACAAAGTAGGGTAGGTGCCCCTCTTAGCCTCACTTCATAGATGATAACAGAGGGGTGAAGTGCTTACCCGTGGTCACACAGCCAGCAAAGAGGTGGCTGCACTGAACGGATTTCATTTGAATGACCATGCCCAATGGTCACCACCAAACTCGTTCTCTGTGTGACCAAAGCATGGCCTGATTTTAAGCAAAACCCCATTTCCAAAAATAAAAATAGGGGGGAAAATGAGGAGTCACTGGCCTGACTTTATAGAAACAATTCCCCATCAGGTTTCCTTAAATAGCACGTTCTCCTGGTGCCTGCAAAACAGGATTGGAGCCACACACAGTTCTCACAGGTTGGCCAAACAGGCTGGGGGTGGGAGGAACCGCGGTGCGCTGCCCAACTGCTGTTCTTTCCACTACAATATGCTTTTCAGTTGCGTGGCGACTTCAGGCTACGGTGGCTATGACGTCCCCATCCTCAGCATCTTTCCACAACGCAGAGCTTCACAGACATGACTCAAACCAACAGATGCCCAAGCTGGTGGAAAAAACCCCAACATACAGGAACGTGCGTGGCAGTTCACAAGCATTCATTTTCCACTGAGGCAGAATGGGGCTTTTGTAAGATCAGCCTGATGCTGTACCTTTATGTCCACATGTTTCTTGGGGGCAGGTGTGGGTAGCCTATAGGGGAGGGGCCATGTTTCGACCAGCATCTGTTTCTCTCCAGGGCTCTGCAAGTGCATGTGCCCACTAACTTGATGTAGAGGGAAAAATAATAGTAATGATGTGGGGATCTCAACCTTCTAATCACAGCCACACGCCATGCACAGCCACAGAACTTCAGATACAGTGAATCAAGCTCTTGGGAGTGAAGGGTATGTACCCAGCTGCTGTTTCTGACCCGACTCGCATCTGCTGAGAGAGAGATGAGCAAAGTCCTCGAGGAGTAAAGTTTCTGCCAGGATCTAGAAAGCAATGGCGGAGAGCCTTTCCGATTCTCTTTCTGGGAACCTTCAGGAGGGGGTGAGTTCACCATCTCCAGACGAGTCCAAACAGCGGCTGGCCATCCACTCACAGCAGAGATGAGCTGGCCCGGGGGAACCCTTCCAGTCTGGGAAATCCATGAGATTTCAGAAGGGGCCCCTGATGGGCGTTCAGAGTGGGTGCCACCATCCCCCGCCTCCATTCCAGCTGCCCAGTGGATCTCAGGGCATCAAAATGGGCCCCATGTTGAGTCTTCGAAGTTCTTCTGTTCCCAAGTGGGCTCTGGGCCAAAGGACTGAAGAGGCTGCCATTTCCACCAGAATGTACTGATGGAAATTGCCTGGGCCTTTGGGCAATTACTAAATTAACCTCTGTTTGGTCATTGAATTGTTTTCTTTTCCCACTCTGAATTCCTGTGGGGTTTTGCCATGGATTGAATGGGTCCCGTGGTGGGTCCATCTATGTCACTAAACCTGTGTCTACCGAATTCCAAATCATCTGTCCAGGTCAGGACCATTTGGAGAATGGGTGAATTGTTTTTAAATCTTGAGAGATGGGCAACGCCATGACACGGCGATTATTTTGTGATGTTGGCTAGGCAGAGTGTGCTCACGTCCTAGATCAAGGGCCTGGGATTGGGCGTCATTTAGACGTGACCAGGAGAATAACAAGGCATCAAAGTGTGCAAGAGAGAGCAAGAGTGACAGGGTTAGACAACCAAGCGTGCACGGGGCCTGGAGTGGGCGGGCGTGTGGGTGTGCACGTGAGCATTCCGGCACACACTTGGCATGTGCAGTGTTTCCATTGCCCCAGCTTGAAAAGACAGCCTCGTGTGTTTGAACAGAAATTACTGATGGTTTTTAATTACTGCAACATTTTAAAACGTTGTGACAGCAAGCTTGATATGTGCATTCTTTAGGAATCTTCAAGGATGACGGATGAGGAGGAGACAGAGCTGAGTGAGGTGCTCGGAATCAGTCAAGGGTCCCTCAGGGCTCCTTGTGTGAATCACAGTTCATCCTGACAAGTCCTGCCAAGGCTGGGGGTGGAGGGGTGATTCATGGTTACCTCCATCTCAGGGATTTGTTACTCCAGAGACGCGTTCACCAGAGCTCTCGTGATCTGATCTTCACTTTCCCGGGCAAACCACTTCCCCTGTCTAACCACTTCCCCCAGCTTGAGCTAATCCAGGTAGTGCATTCATTCATTCATTCATTCACTCATTCACGTGCCACCCACTCTGGGTACAGAGACAGAGGCGAAAGCCCCTGTCATCTGGGAGCTCAGAGGCGGGAGAGGTTGCCGATGTTGACGAGACAGAGCCCCTGAGTGGGGTGGAGCTGGACCCAGCACTGTACTGTGGTCCCTACCATTCACGGAGGCCTTATTACCCTCTGGTGCTCCTGACAGCCCTGTGAGACAGGAACTGTTCTCTTCTTTTACCCATTTTACAGTGAAGAACCTGAGATTTGGAGAAAGTGGATGGCCTACCTGAGGCCGCGCTGTGGCCAGGACCCATCTGACTCCGAAGTCCTCAATGAGCCTGGCCTCTGCTGCCCTCAGCCTAGCCTGCTCGAAAACAGGAGATCAAAATAAGAGTGTGCCTGTCTGGGCTGTGCGAACCTAAAACTAAAGTGAGCTGCCCATAACCTGTCTGCTCCTGTTAGCACAGGCTGGCGGAGGATGCTGCATGCTGTTGGTTTTAACAAAAGGATCAAGACGGAATGCCCACTGTGACTGACACTTGCAAACATCGTGACCCAATGGCAAGATGCTGTGTGAGGTTGGAACAGAGAGAGAGCAGTGCCTTCCCTCGGGACAGTCTTTGAGAAGATGC